ACATAGCATAAATTATGAGGATTGCGATACATTACTCTTAAGGATTGAGGCTATTGGGTTTTCCAACTGGTTGGCTTCTACTGTAGGTCCCTGCTTTTGAGGGTCGTTTGGTTCGCAAGGTCAATAGCAGCTTAGGCTTTATAGGTTTTTCGGGCTTTGGGGCTTACCTGTAACCCAAGAGATCTACTGGTGTTAAGGGTTTCGAATCAAAAAGGCACTAGAATTGCAACGGAGTGGGGAGAATCATGCTCCAACTTTCCGGCTTCTGCTTCAAAAAGCCTAAACCTTACGTCAACAGCAGCCAATTTGTCCCTAAACCCACAGCCCTAAACCCTAAAGCCCATAAACCAAAAACCTTCAACTTCCAAAGGCTCATGGAGTTGCCAGTCACTCTATCCTTCATCTTCTTCTTCTTTCTTCGTCCAGGGCCACAGCAGAAAGCGCTGGTTCCGAGATCCTGGATATGATTTTGACATGTTTTGGCTGCTTCTGGGGCTTGGGGCGGATTTCGGGTTTAGGGACCCTAAGCCCTAAACCCTGTTAGGTTTAGGGTTTAGGGACCCTAAACCCTAAACCCCTAAACCCTAAACCCTAACCTCAGTTGGAAGTGGTTCGAGTTCCCAGGTCAGATGTTGGGGGACTACTTGTAGTGTTCTGCTCTTGAGTTAGGGTTCAGAGTATGTTCGATTCAATTTTGGTGTTTGAATACCGCAGTCTTTTGCAGGCCCGCCATGGACATAATTTTCTTGTGAGATCTTCTTACGTGGCGTTGACAAGGCTACACTAGATACGCAGTGATTCAGATGTTGTGCTATGGCTTGGGGGTGAGGGTTTAGGGTTTTAGGGTTTAAGGTAGGATCTTGGCGGGGGTGGGATTCGGGACGCTGGATTGACCCTAGAGCCTGGAGCCAGGAACGGGTTTAGGGTCTAGGAGAATCGGGTGCCAAGGTTCCGGGATATGATTCGGGCTTCAGGATTACGTCTTGCGATTTCAGCCCAAGCCCAAACGCTAGGTGAGACTTTCTGTTTGTGGCCACCCTCAGCACCCACCCTAGGCCCTGAGCCGATCATGATTGTGTAAGTAGTAGTACTCCGGTCCTTAAGCAATTTTCTCTTATGGCTCCTAAACCCTAAACCCTAAACCCTAAACGTCCTACAATTGTTATTCTTCTCACCGAGGAATCTGTGCGGCGGTCATGTGCAGCTTGTGCTACAAATGTGGGTCGAGGCTTACTCACGCCACCATCAAGACTCCTTGAGCTCCAACCCTAAACCCTAAACCCTAAACCCTAAACCTGAAACCCTAAACCCTAAACCCTCACATTTTTGGGCTTTGGCCCATGATGGCCTTTTGGGTGTTGGGACTGTAAGGTCCGGTGCTTTCGGGTTTTGGGTTTGGGGCCCGGGGGTCCAAGAAAATCATGTGTTGGTGTGAGCCATCGGCGTCCACGAGTCCTCGTGTCCCCTTAATGATTTTGCTGTCACGATACACCCTCCCACCCTCAAAAAACGCTGAAAACCATTATGCGACCCCTGTCCTCCCTATGTGAACACCGTGTTCGACTTGCTGATGCGCTGTTTCAAACCCTTCGCGTGTTCGAGGGATGTGAAATCACATGACATGGCCATGGGGCATGCTACTCGTATTATTGTATTCAGACCCCAATCATAAGAAATTATCATCCAATAAATCCCCCAAACCCTAAACCCTAAACCCTAAACCCTAAACCCTAAACCCTAAACCGTAACAGTAAATCCCGGAACCCCTATTCCATGTATGGAGGTCTCGGGTGTCTATGGTTTTACGGCCCAGCGGTTTTGGGATTCGGGCTTCCTGCACTTCTAAACCCGAACCCAGCCCTAAACCCAAAGAAACGCCAGGAAATCAGTAGGGGGTTCAAGGTTTGGGGTTTAGAATTCTGGGGCTGCAACTCACATAACCTATGAATTATAGGGCTTAACCTTCAAATTCGGTACTTCAAGCCAGGGGCAGACCCCAGCCGTTATCCACAGCGATGTCGGTACTCGCCGTTTCGAGGGTCTTTGACGGCTTGATCATAGGGTTCAGGGTTTACAGTTTAGGTGTAGGGTTTAGGGTTTAGGCTTAGGGTCTAGGGTTCGAGCTTTGAGTTTAGGGTTTAGACTAAACATCGACGTAAACCTTCCTGCCTGAGCCAGCTCATAGCCTACGTGACTTCAGAATGCATAGGGGGGGCTAAACCCTAAAGCCCTAACCCCTAAAGCCCTAAAAAGGTCAGAGCTTTCCGGCGCAGGATCTGGATGCGCAAGTTCGGGTCGTGCGAAACCCAAATCGCGGAACTCCACATGGGTAGTTCTCTAAATAAGGCTCCGTTTTAGGATTTATAACGGCTTCTTTAAGGGTTCTACAAGGGTCGCTGAATTAGGATCCCTTTTAGGGGTCCTTTTTATAAGGGTGCCGTCCTATTCTTGAGACCTAAAAAGGAATCCTAATATAGCGACCTACCGACATCGACATGCAGGTCGGACTAGTTCCCAGATTTCCGGGAGGATCCAAAAAGTAGATCCCTTAAGGGGCTTCCTATAAAGTACCCTTTGGTAGTGTAGGGTCCCAATTTCGGGCATCTACTTGCTCGATCCTCCAGGGGTCTGGTTTGAGGCATGCACTACACCTACCGCGGATGGATCTACCCTTGTTTGCTGCGCGACTGGGAAGCAGCGAGACGCATCACTGGTATGAAGCAGGGGCTGCGTAAACCCTAAGCCCCAAAGCCTTTCCTAAGGGTCCCAGCACTTTGCTTCGACACGAAATTAGTAGACTTTGTATGGCTTTGTCTCAGCTTCTTAGCTTGAAGCGCTAAGCATTAAACATGCTTATTCATGCATGCTTATTCCAGCAAGGTGCTACATTCTAGGATTCTAAAGTCTAGGTCGCATCCGAGCATCCTGACGGCTGCAGCCCGCAGCCTCTTTCCCGATAGCGAGTGCACCCGACACCGCCCCCACCCCCCCTAGGGGTTCCTTTAACGGATAAACCCTAAACCCTAAACCCTAAACTTATTATATAACGGGTGGTCCTCCGCCAACGCGCAGGCCTCAAGGCTCCAAGCCCAAAGCCTAGGCCGCAAACCCGAAATCCCAGAAGCACCGAAAATCAAAAGCAACGAGCACCGGGGTTTAGGGTTCAGGGTTTAGGGAGGCTTCGAGACGGCCCAGGAAACTTGAACCTTAAACCCCATAAAGTAGGTTGTTGTGATCCCTTCTTGATTTATACATGTGTGTCCCGAAACCTTAATGCGGGACTTAGTATCCGGTATGTGGTGTCCCTATTTGGATGATTATAACGCATACTTACCAAGTCACCTGGTCCTTTAAGCACCCCGCCCCCCGTCCAAACCTTCCGACCTGGAACAGGAACTGAAGCTTCAAAGAAACGGTTTAGGCTTTAGAGTTTGGAGTTTAGGCGAACCTCTACTCCTTTCAGATGTCAGACTGTTGATTAAATCCTGCATTACCTTATTTGAGGACCCTAATCTATGGGAAGTATGGTATATAGCTTTTTATGGGTAAGGGTAATGCAGGATTTATATGGGTGGTTGTCAAAATTTTGGTCCTTTTTTGGGTCCTTATTATA